TTTGGATATACATCACAGGTGAGCCAGCTCGTGTCTCTACCCATCAATCAGCCAAGTGGAGACTCTTGATTCTGCTGGGGAGAACTAACAGGGGGCCGACAGCTTGTGACTGTGTGAGGCTTCTGTACTTGGACAGGGAAAAAACTGAGGGTGTGTGGGAGGACTCACAGTGTGGCTAGGACTTTGAGCAGTTACAATGGGAGACTCCATATGCTCAGGGTTTCCTGGTTACCTGTTAGAGATACTGTTAGGGAAACTGATCTTACACTGAGGAATGCACAGATCCTTTGTGTGACCCTTGGGACAGAGCGAATAAATGTAACACAAACTTGCGCATGCCCTTATCCCTGGAGAACTGAACAGAGCTCTTTGGCCAAACCCACTATAAGCCTCTAGATTTTCACTGAAAAGTAGACTTTCCACTATCTTCACAGTCATAGTCCAAAGATAAAAGTTGCCACACACCCCCCAAAAAAAGAGAGAAAGCGGAAACCAACAAGTATCTCCACAAATGCCAAACAATAAATGCACCAATTCTAGAAACAAGAATAGGAAGACAACATAATGTCACCAAAAGAATGTGATACTTTGGGGCCAGCACTGTGATACAGTGGGTAAAGCTGCATTTGCAGTGCCAACATCCCATATGGATACTGGTTCGAGTTCTGACTGTGCTGCTTCCAATCCAGCTCTCTGCTCTGGCCTGGAAAAGCAGTGCAATATGGTCAAAGTCCTTGGGCCCCTGCAGCCACATGGGAGATCCCCAGAAGAAGCTCCTGGCTCCTGGCTGCAGATCGGCATAGCTCCGGCCATTGCAGACAACATGGTAATGAGCAGCTGACAGAAGACCTCTCTCTCTCTCTGCCTCTCCTTCTCTCTCAGTAGTGCTGACTTTCAAATAAATAATAATCAAACCTTAAAACAAAGAACATGACACTTAAATGCTAGATTGTGAAGATGATGAGATAGAAGAATTGAAAGAAATGGAATTCAAAAAATTGATCATAAGATTACAAAGAAGTAGTCTGGCACTGTGGCTCACTTGGCTAATCCTCCGCCTGCAGCGCCGGCACCCTGGGTTCTAGTCCCAGTTGGGGTGCCGGGTACTAGTCCCGGTTGCTCCTCTTCCAGTCCAGCTCTCTACTGTGGCCCGAGAGGGCAGTGGAGGATGGCCCAAGTGCTTGGGAGACCGGGAGAGAAAAACAGCTCCTGGCACCAGTGCAGCCTTGGCTATTTCAGGTATCTCAGAATTCAATCAGTGGATGAGATTCTTTCTCTAATTCCCATCCTCTCAAATAAATGAATAAAAATTTTCAAAAATTTCAAATTTTCAAAAAATGTTGACTTTATCCCCAGCCCATACTTTGCTTTGCCTAAGTGTTGATGGCACGTATAAATATAAAGCTTTACTATTTCAATTTACACTGGAAGAAGACACTACAGAAAAGGAAAGGAGGGGCTGGCACTGTGGATAGCAGCCTAAACCTTCACCTGCAGCACAAGTACCCCATATATTCATCAGTTCAAGTCTCAACTGCCCCACTTCCAATTCAGCTCCCTGCTGATGGCCTGCATAAAGGAGTGGAGGATGGTCCAAGAGCTTGGACATCTGCATGCCCATGCAGAACCGTGGGTACATGAGTAGGGACTCCTGGCTCCCAAGTTTGGCCTGGCACAGCTTGGGCCACTACAGCCATTTCAAGTGTGAACCAGCTGATGAAGGACCTTTCTATCTGTCTTTCCCTCTGTCTGTAACTCTGCCTCTCTAATAAACAGATCTTTAAAAAAAACAGAAACAAACCAGCCATATGCTTCAGCAATCCCACCACTGGGTCTACACCCAAAAGAAATGAACATTATTCTATCAAAGAGATACCTCCACCACCATGTGGATTGCAATATGGTTCACAGCAATCACAAGGAATAAACATGGATTTATTTATAAAGATTAAACAAAGATTTCTATCATCAGATGAATGCATAAGGAAAACATGGTATAGATATACAATGAAATGTATTTCAGGATTTAAAAATAATGAAATTTTATCAAGTGCATCAAAATGGAGTTACTGGAGGACTTCATCTTAGAGAAATCAGCCAGAAAAAGAAAAATACCCACATGTATTACCTTACATGTGAAAGTTAACTTTTTGAAAAAAAAAATCAAAACACAAAAAAAGAAATATAAATGTGAATGTGTATCACTACTGTCGCAAATATACTCCTATAAAACTTTGTTTGAAAACTGGACAAAACAATGGTTAAGAACAGAATACTGGATCTGGAATTATGGCATAGTAGGTTAAGCATCCATTGTAGTGCCGGCATCCCATATGGGCACCAGTTTAAGTCCAGCTGCTCCACTTCCAATCCTCTTCCTTGCTGATGGCCTGAGAAAGCAATGGAAGATGGCCCAAAGGCTTGGGCCCCTGCAACATAGTGGGAAAGATGGAAGAAACTCTTGGTTCCTGGCTTTGCACTGGGCCACCTCCAGACATTGTGGCCATCTGTGGAATGAGCCCATATTTATGGAAGACCTCTAACTCTACGCCTCCCTCTCTCTGTAACAATACATCTCAAGAAAACTAATGTTTTTTTTAAAAAAATTAATTTCCTAAAATAAAAGATCATACTGCTCCAGTAGAACTTTATTCTTTGTACCTTTTTCCTATGAATATTATTGTTACCCTGAATATTACATGGATTATAATCATATCATGAAAAATAGATGAAAAGAGCAAAGGAAGGAGGGGAAAGGGGAAGAGAGGAAATTCTGGGTTTATTCTTAGAACTGTACCTACACAATTCATGAAATATGTTCTCTTTTCATTCATTTTAAAAACAATTGAAGGGGTAGGGGCTGTGTGGCAGTGTGTTAAATCCCAGGCTTGAAAGGTGAGCATCCCACATGGGCACAGGTTCTAGACCCCAATGCTCCTCTTCTGATCTAGCTCTCTGTTATGGCCTGGGAAAGCAGTAGAAGATGGCCCAAGTCCTGGGGCCCTGAACCCACGTGGGAGACCCGCAAGAAGCTCCTGGTTCATAACTTTGGATCGGCTCATTTATAGCCATTGTGGCCATTTGGGGAATGAACCAGCAAAGGGAAGACCACTCTCTCTACCTCTACACCTCTTTCAGTAATTCTGTCTTTTAAGTAAGTAAAAGTAAATCTTAAAAAAAAATTTGAAAAGAAAAAAGAATGTAGCATTAGTATAGTTGTAATGATCTGTGATTACTTTAAATTTAGGGTGTATGGGAAAAATGGTCATTTTTTCATTCCACTGATTATACTTGTTGCTTATATTCCCTATAAACTAGGGTTTCTGTTCTTCCCTTAATTTTATGAGATTTACTTTGTTTATTACAAAGACACTGTTACATACAGAGAGAGAGAAAGAGGGATAGATCTTGCATCTGCTGGTTCACTTCTCAAAGGGCCAAAACAGCCAGGACTGCACCAAGATGATGACAGGAGCCAGGAGCTTTTTCCAGGTGTCCCACATGGCTCCTAAGTCACAAGCACTTGGGCTGTCCTCTGATGCTTTGGTGCTTTAGCATGGAGCTGGATCAGAAATGGAGTAGAGACCCGTGCTGTGGCATAATGAGTAAGGCCACCTCCTGCAGTGCCGGCATCCCATATGGGTGCCAGTTCAAGTCCAAGCTTTTCAACTTCTGATCCATCTCTCTGCTATAGCCTGGGAAAACAGTAGAAGATGGCCCAAGTCCTTGGGCCCCTACAACTGTGTAGGAAAACCCTGAGCAAGCTCCTGGCCCCTGACTTTGGATCAGTGCACCTCCGGTAGCTGTGGCCTTCCAGGGAGTGACCCAGTGGATGGAAGACCTCTTACTCACTCTCTCTACCTCTGCCTCTTTATAACACTGTCTTTGAAATAAATAAATAGATCTTGAAAAAAAAGAAGTGGAGTAAATGAGATTTGAACCAGCACCTGTATGGGATGCCAAATATTGCCTCAACCCTACTTTTTGGTTACTGAACTTCTTATTTGGTAAAGCACTTAGCCTTTTACTAAAATGCAAATATAAAAACCATCCAAAAATGGATGAAAGGAAGGAAGTAAGGAAGGGAGGAACAAAGGGAGAAAGAAAGGAAGAGGTACACTGGGAAAGACAGTTTTGAAAGCAGAGCAGAAAAGGGAATGTAAGCCGGCATCGTGGTTCAACAGGCTAATCCTCCGCCTAGGGGCACCCGCACACTGGGTTCTAGTCCTGGTCGGGGTGCTGGATTCTGTCCCCGTTGCCCCTCTTCCAGGCCAGCTCTCTGCTATGGCCCAGGAGTGCAGTGGTGGATGGCCCAAGTGCTTGGACCTTGCAACCCATGGGAGACCAGGAGAAGCACCTGGCTCCTACCTTCGGATCAGCGCAATGTGCCAGCCGCAGTGCACTGGCTGCGGCGGCCTCTGGAGGGTGAACCAGGCAAAGGAAGACCTTTCTCTCTGTCTCTCTCTCTCTCTCTCACTGTCCACTCTGTCAAAAAAAAAAAAAAAGGAATGTCGTTTATTCTTAGAATTATTCTATAAAATATACCCAAGAATTATTTTAGCCTAAAAAACAAATACAGGCCGGCGCCGCGGCTCACTAGGCTAATCCTCTGCCTAGCGGCGCCGGCACACCAGGTTCTAGTCCCGGTTGGGGTGCTGGATTCTGTCCCGGTTACCCCTCTTCCAGGCCAGCTCTCTGCTGTGGCCCAGGAGTGCAGTGGAGGATGGCCCAGGTGCTTGGGCCCTGCACCCCATGGGAGACCAGGAAAAGCACCTGGCTCCTGGCTCCTGCCATCGGATCAGCGCAGTGCGCCGGCCGCAGCGCGCCGGCCGCGGCGGCCATTGGAGGGTGAACCAACGGCAAAGGAAGACCTTTCTCTTTGTCTCTCTCTCTCACTGTCCACTCTGCCTGTCAAAAAATAAAAAAAAATAAAAAAATAAAAAAACAAAACAAAAACAAAAACAAAAACAAAAAAAAACAAATACAAGTCGGCGCCGTGATTCAATTGGCTAATCCTCCACCCTTGAGGTGCCGGCACACCGGGTTCTTGTACCGGTTGGGTCGCCAGATTCTGTCCCAGTTGCCCCTGTTCCAGGCCAGTTCTCTGCTATGGCCCAGGAGTGAGTGGAGGATAGCCCAAGTCCTTGGGCCCTGCACCTCATGGGAGACCAGGAGAAGCACCCGGCTCCTGCCTTCAGAGCAGCATGACGCGCCGGCAACAGCATGCCAGCCGCAGCGGCCATTGGAGGGTGAACCAACAGCAAAAGAAAGACCTTTCTCTCTGTCTCTCTCTCTCACTGTCCACTCTGCCTGTCAAAAATAAAAAAATAAAAAACCAAATACATCCACTGGAGACAACATCAATCTTTAATAGAAATTTATATAAAACAGGTAAGCACTCACATTTCAGGAAAATTAAATACATAAAATTTGCACATTCATAAAATTCTGTACATGGAAAATCCTGACTTTCATAAAAATGTAATCTTGCATATCTTTCTGTAGAAATAACCTAAAAAATAAGAGTATAAAGGCTATATAATTCAGAATAAGTGTGACTCAAAAATAACACTGCATTGTAAAGAATGACACATCCTATAAAGTAAAACATAAGGAAGAATTTGCATTCCTAAACAATGTGACAGTGTAAAACAAAAAGACATGGTTTGACAGATCATAAAATAAAGGAAATATCAGAGATGGAAAAAATCAAATGAGGAATAGCAAGTACTAGAAAGTATACATTGCAACATAAGGGGAAGATATTTCAAGAACTCCTACCTGGTAAAGTGCTGCAGGACTAAGTCATCCCCAGCCCCCAAACAGCAATCGGAACAAAAACTCCATGAAAGCAGAAGCTTTCACACAGAGCTGCCTAGAAGGATATGGAAAACATGCACCACGACAAAGCTGTGTGCAGTTCATCAAAATGTCTTGAAAGCAAACTCGCAACCACTTCTTTCCACAAACTTTTCAAAGTACCTCATGTTGGCCCCTGCATTACATTAAATAACTAGAACAAATGCTGGCACATAACAGAAACATCTTTGAAAGACAAAGAAATACACCTTTACCAAGAGAGAGTCCTCTGCCCAAATTCAGATTCTATAAGCTGACCTCAAGCCACAAATTTCAATCCAGGCTAGATCAGGTTCTTGTCTTCCTAAGCACACACCAATCCAGTTTTCTCTCACATAAGCCTCTCTCCATCCCTGGTATTCCGGAGACTTTTGTTGAAGTTTCCTAATTAACCATGCATTCATACCACAGTCCCTAAGAAAGACCACACTATACCCCTCACCATTTTCTTACCCTCACTTTTCCTAAGGTCTGTCCCAGATCTAACACTTGGAGACTCCACCAGTTCTACTAGTAGACCTACCAGCTCCTCCCTATTACAACTCTACTGAAAGTCACCTGACCTCCTCCATACAATCCTTCCATTTCCCTGTCTATATCCAGGATGGCAATATACAGAAATTACCTGATTTCAGCTCCCAACACATTGCATGCCCCAGGTTCTTCCATGGCATCTAACAATCCAATCACACCACACAATTTACTTCCAATCCCATCATTCTTAGCCCCGAAATCTAAAACCCAAACTTTTATTAACACATCTCTCCAAACCAGACTTCTTGGGTTTTGTACTCTGACTCAACAGCACACACTTGTCCTCCAGGTCTCCCTCCCATTTCCTGCATACCCAAGTATTCCCCTATTACCATGTTTTTTGGCCCCTAGTGCTCTGCAGAGCCCTGGGGAACTCATTCTCCAACATACTACCCACTCCTGTTTCCATGCTCTCACACTCTGCTGAAGCCCACCAGGCCCCTGCATTTCTCCCCATGCCTGTGGGGCTACCCCACATGACCCTCCCTGCCACAGGGTGGAAGTCTACATCGTGTCAGCCTGGGCCGCCCAACCCCTGGGAACGGGCTATCCCTTCCCTTCCCCTTGTGCACTCAGGACATGGACACAACTAAGGGGGCCACATATGCTCACCAGTTGCTTCTCTCCCGGAAGAAGGTCCAGCTGACATTGAGCAGGAAGCTGTGCAGTCTCCAGAACTGGAAGAACACCCGGCAGCTGAGCTTCAGCGTCTACTCTGGGTGAGTTTCACATCCGTGCTCTGTGGGAGGGAGCAGAGTAGACAGACATCCACTTCTTGGCTTCCTCACAATAGATCTGCTGCCCCCCCGTGCCTCCAAACCTGCAGATTTGGGGGGAGAATGCTGCTGGGTAGATGCCCTGGGCATCTCTGTCCCATAAGCTTAAATGCAGCAAATCCCTCCTGCACTCTCCAAGCCTACCATACTGCTGCAGCCTATAACACCTCTCTCTCTCTCCCTCTCTCTCTTGCTCACCTGTTCTCACAATGTTTCTCTCTCTGTAATTCTTGCAAAAATGCAATAAAGCTTTTTTTTTAAAAAAAAAACACATTATCATCTCATTAGATACAGAAAAATAACCTGAAAAGATTCAATCCCATTCATTATTAAGAAAAAAAAAAAACCGCCACAAAGTAGGTATAAAAGGAATAGGTATCAAAATCATAAAGGCTATGTATGACAATTCGAAGCCAATGGCATGCTGGATGGGCAAAAAGTGAAAGCATTTTTGTCAAACATGTAACACAAGGATGTCCCCTTTTACCACTCTGACAGAATGCAGTACTGTAAATTTTCACAAGAGAAAGAAAGGAGTAGAAAAAAAGAAATAGCACCTAGATTATAAAAGAGAAATTGAAATTCTAAATGCTTGCAGGTGACATGCTATGGTACGAGAAAAAATGAAAACAATCCACCAAACACGCTGCTAGAACTGGTGAAACAATTAAGTGAAGTCACAGGTTACAAATAAGCATACTGTGTAAGCAGCAGTGTTTATTCCTTAATGATGAACTCACTGACACAGCAATCAAAAAAATCCCAAAGATAATAACAACAGAAATCAAATGTTTAAGACTAAATGTAACCAAAGAAGCCAAAGAGCTCTATCATGAAAATCGCCATACACTGATGAAAGAAATCACCAAGGACACAAAAAATGGAAAGATATCCCTTTTGGTGGATTTGAAGAATCAGTACAATTAAAATCTCTAACCCACCTAAAGCTACCTAAAGATTCAATTAAATTTGTATCCAAACGCCGATGACATTCTTTACAGAATTACATAAAACAAACCGAAAATTCATACAAAATCACACAAGATCCAGAATAGATAAGGTGTTCCTGAGAAAAAAGACAAAACAAAATTAGCCTAGATGCCTCACAACATCTGATTCAAAGTATTCTACAAATCTACACTAAACCAAATATCAAAGCACTTGCAGAAAAAGTGACATGCAGACCAATGGAAGAAAACACGGTGAGCTCCAATATTAATCCAAATATGTACAACACCAGATTTTTAGGATTCAGACTTATCCATTGGAGTAAGGAAAAACTCTTCAACAAATGCTGTTGGCAAAAATGGATGTATCTGTGTAGAACATCGAAATTAGATTCATAACTCCCATAAAATAGGAAAATCAACTCAAAACGGATCAGAGACCTAAATCTATAACCCGAGACTATGAAGCTTTTTGAAGGTAATACAAAGAAAAGCTCGAAGGCACTGGAATAGGCAATGGCCCTTGCAAAAGACCCTCAAAGACCAGCAGAAAAATCAAAACTAAACAAATGGGATTAAATGAAATTAAAAGCTTTGCACAGCAAAGGAAGTCATCACAGATGGAAGAGACATACAACAGAATGAGCAGAAGATATCTGTCAGCTACCTATCTGACAAAGGATTAATATCAAGAATACATCTGCAACTTAGAAAAAAATAGCAGCAAGAAAAACACAACCAATCCAGATATGAAATGGCCAAAGGAACTCAACAGACAGTTCCCCATAGATATACAGATGGCCAACAAATACAGGAAGAAATGCTCAACATCATAACCTATGAGGGAAATGCAAATCCAAACCACAATGGGATATCAGCTCACACGTACATACTGGCTAAAACCCAAAGGATGGAGAGTCACAATGATGAGGAAGATGTGGGACAAGAAGAACACTTACACACTGGTGGTGGAAATGTAAATTGGTGCAGCTGCTGTGGAAAATGGTATGGAGATTTTTAAGAAACCAGAAATAGACTTGCCATATGATGGAGCAACCCATCAATTGGCTATAACCCAAAACACATGAACATATTGTATCAGAGAGATACGTACACCACAATATTTATTGCAGTATGCTTCACGGCAGCGAAAACAAGAAATTTTCATCAGATGAATGCGTAAGCATAATACTATACATACACACACACACACACACGCATGCGCACTCTCACACAGTGAAACAACCTTACAAATCCCTCTTTCCACAAACTTTTCAAAAACCCTCATGACGCTCTCTGCAATACCTTAAATAACTAGAACAAATGTGGGTACATCACAGACACTCCTTTGAAAGCAAAAAAAAAAAAAAAAAAAAAAACACATTTACCAAGAAAAAGTCCTCTGCTATAATTCTGACTTCTATAAGCTGACTACAAGCCACAAACTTCATTCCCAGGCGAAATCAGGTTCTCCATGTACCCAAGCCCCCTATTAACCCTTATTTTATTTCAGATAAGATCCTCTCCAACTCTTGGTACTCTGTAGACTTTGGTCGAATTTCATGATTAAATCAGCACACATTCCCAGGTCCCTCCTGCAAGTTCCTTCGGCCTGCCTCCTGATACCCTTTCCCTCACTTTTCCTAAGGTTGCTCCCCAGGCCCTGTCCCGGGTCTAACACTCTGATGCTCCACTAGTTCTTTTTTTCCTTTTCTTTTTTTTGACAGGCAGAGTGGACAGTGAGAGAGAGAGACAGAGAGAAATGTCTTCCTTTTGCCGTTGGTTAACCCTCCAATGGCCACCGTGGCTGGCGTGCTGTGGCCGGCGCACTGCGCTCATCCGAGGCAGGAGCCAGGTGCTACTCCTGGTCTCCCATACAGGTGCAGGGCCCAAGCACTTGGGCCATCCTCCACTGCACTCCCAGGCCCCAGCAGAGAGCTGGCCTGGAAGAGGGGCAACCAGGACAGAATCTGGCACCCCAAACAGGACTAGAACCCGGTGTGCTGGAGTCGCAATGCAGAGGATTAGCATAGTGAGCCTCGGCGCCGGCCTCCACTAGTACTTACATGTAGACCTACCGGCTCCTCCCTATTACAATTCTCCTAAAAGTCGCCTGCCTTTCTCCATACAATCCTTCCATATTCCCTATCATAGGATAGTGACATACAGAAATAACCTGTTTTCAGCTCCCAAAACCTTGCATGCCCTAGGTTCTTCCATTGAATCTAACCCTCTACTGCCGCTGCATGAAGTACTTACAATCCCATCGTCCTTAGCTTGAAACTCTAAAACCCAAACAACTACTACCATGTCTCCCAAAACCATACATCTTATGTTTTGTACTCTGAGTCAACACATGCAGTTCTCCTTCCAGGTCTCCCTCCCACTGGCTGGACAACCAGTCTTCCCTTCTTAGCATGTTCTATGGCCCTTAATAAACTACAAAGAACCAGGGAACCCATTCACCAACATCTTATTCACCTCTGTCTCTGTGGCCCCCACTCAATTCTAGGAATGCTAGGCCCCCACATTCTGTCTCCACATGTATATAGGGCTCCCCGACTTGACCCTCCATCCCAAAGGTTGGAAGTCCACCTTGTTCTCAACATGGCCAGCCCAACTGCAGGAACAGGGTTCCCTTCCATTCCCTCCGCTCCCCTTTGGGCCCAAGGGCTGCCATCAACAGGACACAGCCACATGTACTAACCAGCTGCTCCTGTCCAGGGTGAAGGCACAGCTGGGTTTTACCAGGAAGCCAAGGAGGTTCCAGAAATGGAAGATTACCCAGCAGCTGAAATTCAGCGTCAACTCGGTGTCCAGTTTCATATCCATGAAAATGTCTGCAAAAAAGTTTTTTTTTTTGACAGGCAGAGTGGACAGTGAGAGAGAGAGAGAGACAGAGAGAAAGGTCTTCCTTTGCTGTTGGTTCACCCTCCAATGGCCGCCACAGCTGGCATGCTGCGGCTGGCGCACCGCGTTGATCCGATGGCAGGAGCCAGGAGCCAGGTGCTTTTTCCTGGTCTCCCATGGGGTGCAGGGCCTAAGCACTTGGGCCATCCTCCACTGCACTCCCTGGCCACAGCAGAGAGCTGGCCTGGAAGAGGGGTAACCGGGACAGTATCCGGCACCCCGACCGGGACTAGAACCCGGTGTGCTGGTGCCGCTAGGCGGAGGATTAGCCTAGTGAGCCGCGGCACCAGCCAAAAAAGTTACAAAACATTAAAGAAATGGAAGAAGACACACAAAAATGGAAAAATCTTTCATACTGATTCACTGGCAAAATTAACATAATGCAAATATCCATTCTACCATAAGCAATTTACAGACAAAATGGGATCCTAAGCAAAGGTCTAATAGCATTTTGCCCAGATGGAGAGAAAACAATGCTAAAATTCATATGAAAACGCAGAACATCTGAATAGAGAAAGCAACCTTACACAACATTGACAAAACTCGAAGCATCGCAATAACAGATTGCAAGACACAGAACAGGACAGTTACAATCAAAACAGCTTGGTATAGTAAAAAAACTGACATACAGAACAAAGGAACAGAAAAGAAACATCTGAAATAACACACACATATCTACAACTAATCTATCTGTCAAGAAGGAGCCGAAGATCAATCCCAGGTACAAGGGACAGTTTCTTCAAAAAATGGTCCTGAGAAAACTGCACAGATATGCAGAACTCTGAAAGAAGACCCATACCTTACACCTATACAAAAAGCAACTAAATGGCTGGTGCTGTGGCTCAATAGGCTAATCGTCTACCTGCGGCGCACCACACCGGTTTCTAATCCCGGTCGGGGCACCGGATTCTGTCCTGGTTGCCCCTCTTCCAGGCCAGCTCTATGCTGTGGCCCAGGAGTGCAGTGGAGGATGGCCCGGATCCTTGGGCCCTGCACTCACATGGGAGACCAGGAGAAGCACCTGGCTCCTGGCTCCTGGTTTCAGATCAGTGTGGTGCGCTGGCCACAATGCGCCGACTGCAGTGGCCATTGGAGGGTGAACCAACGGAAAAGGAAGACCTTTCTATCTCTCTCTCTCATTGTCCACTCTGCCTGTCAAAAAAAAAAAAAAGCAACTAAAAACACTTCAAGGAACGAAATCTAAAACTCAGTATCATCAAATTACTAGAGAACACTAGTCTACTCTGGGTTAATTTCACATCCGTGTCCTCTGGGAGGCAGGAGGGGAGGCAGGCATCTGCTTCTCGGTTTCCTCATGGCTGAGCCACCGCCCACCCCCACTGCCTCTGAACCTGCAGATTTCGGGGGAGAATGCCACTGGGAAGCCCCGGTTCCCAAATCCTTTGAGGCAGGCCCTGGGCATCTCTCTGTCCGTAAGCTTAAACGCAGCAAATCCCTCATGCACTCTCCAAGCCTACCGTAACACTACCGCCAATGCCACTGCCAGCTGGCCTCAACCTCGACACCACTCCCACAGACATCGCCTACTTCTCCCCGAGGCCTACTATGCAAGCACCATCCAACTAACACCTGCCCCTTCCTACAAGAATACACAGTGTCAGCGGAAGAGGCCACACTACCTTGAAGAACCACTGGGCTGCAGCCTGAGCCCCAGCCTGACATGCCTTTCCTGTGCTCACCATCATCAGGAGCACTCCAAGGGCATTGTTGCTCCCAATCCAGCCCACCAGAAGCTCAGGGCAGTGTGGAGCTCTCTACACCTCCCGTGCTAACACCCAGCCACTCCCACATGGTGCACAGCTCTGCCAAACTGCCCATGGTCACGGCTACTGAACGACAGATACCCACCCAGCATCCTGGCCTGGTCAGTTCTGGGGCTGCTGCCTGGAGTCAGACAACCAAGTGTGCAATGTGTTGTGCCACAGACAGGGAGGGAGGGTTGGGACTATCACCGTGTATCTAAATTGCATTTATGAAATGCATGGAATTTGGATCTCTTAACTAAAAAACGGTATCTTACAAGAACACCTGAACTGTCTTCTCTTGGTCGTTTCCTAGCCCTTTCATTATGTCACAATTATAGATGACGCAGTCGCTCATCACTGTGTCCTAGGGAACAGGCTGCCCTGTTTGAAGTCCTAACTCAGAACTTTTCATCTCACACTAGCAGAATACACATTCTTCTCATCAGTCCCTGGAACATTCACTAGGACACAACATATGATAGGCCAGAAGCAAGCCTAGTAAACTCAATGACTGAAATCATTTCACCCATCTTCTATGACCAAAATGCAAGGAAAACGGGAAATCAACAACTCAAGAAACTCCAGAACATACGCAAACACATGGAGACCGAGGAACATGCTCCTGAATGAATGGTGGGTCGTAGGAGAAATCAAAATGGAAATCAAGAAATTTCTGGAAATGATTGAAGATAACAGTACAACATAACAAAATGTATGGGACACAGCAAATGCAATGTTAAGAGGGAACAAAAATCAGTATATTTAGGAATAAATTTAATCAAATAAGTGAAAGAGCTCTACAATAAAAATTATCAAACACTGACCAAAGAATAATCAAGGACACACAAAAAAAGGAAAGATATTCCTTACTTGTGGATTGGCAGAATGTGTATCATTAAAATATCTATTTCATGGAAAGAAATCTACAGAATACCAATGACATTCTTTACAGAATTAGAAAAAACAACCCTCCAATTCATACAGAACCACAGAAGATCCAGAACCGCTAAGGTGATCCTGATGAAATAAAAATCAAGCTGGAGACATCACAATACCTGACTTCACAGCATACTAAAAAAGTGTACTAATTAAAACACCATGTGCCTGGCAATAAAAAAACTGATACATACCAATGGAGCGAAACAGAGAATCCCTAAGTTAATCTAAATACTTATGGCCACCTGATTTTTGACAAAAGGGTTCAGACCTTTCATCGGTGTAAGGATAATCTCTTCAACAAACGGTGCTGGCAAAGCTAGATGTATTCATGTAGAAGAATGGAATTAGATCCATATCTCTCATCATTTATAAAAAATCAACTGAGATGGGGCAGCCGTGCACTTCTCAGAAGACTGTTCTTACAAGTATGGTCAAAAACAGTGAGGCCAGATACCAGTGTTGTGGTGTAGTGGGTAGGGCCACCAGCAGCGCTGGAATCCATTGTGGGGAACAGTGCCTGCCCTGGCTGCTCCACTTCTGATCCAGCACCCTTTTAGAGGCCTGAGGAATGGCTGTTGAGGGTGGGTCGATTGTTTGGGCCTCTGTCACCCTTGTGGGGAGACAACGTGGGGCCCCCGGCTCCTGGCTTCTTATAGCCAGTGGATGAAACATCTCTGTCTCTCCCTCCCTCTCTGATACTCTGACTTTCAAATAAACAAATAAATCCCCCAAACAAACCAAAAAATCTGTAGTGGTTTCTCATTAAGGGCTTGAAGTCTTGTGGGGGAAAGTTCATCAGGCTAACTAGAGGAGAGAGGAAAAAAAAGGGGGGACCAGTATGGACACAAGTCTCTCTCTCTCCGCTCACCTCTAAAAAGCAAGCAAGACAAAGAGCAGGCGTCATTTTGGACATACTTAAAGCAGTGCCCGCCATCAGCCAACCAGAAAAACCTGACTCTGGGGGGGTGAAATAACAGAAGGTTAGGACCTAGTGAATGCATGGAGCTAATGAACTGAGATTGTGAAAAAAGAGATGGTGGGTGAGAGAACTCAGAGTTTATGTGAGTACTCGCCAGAGATGCTACAATTTGGTAACCTTGGCAACCTGGTGGGAGACTGCAAGGGAATTTGAGCCCACAGTCGGGGTACCACAGAGTCTTGGTGTCATCCTTGGGAAAGAGCAGATGAATGTTGAACCCACAGGAGCCAGAGATCAGAAGCTGACTGCCTAATATTCCGCTCAGCTGTGCGGAAATTCTTCCCTTCTGAATCAAAAAAAAAAAAAAAGAAAGAGAGAGAGAGACAGAGAGAGAGAGAGATTTACCATGCCTAACCTGGGTGTGTCACCTTTGGCAGACCCTTAACCCTGAAGAACCAAACAGAGCACTCTGGCCACACCCATCTCAAGCCTCTAAGGCTCCATCAAAAGCAGACAGTCCACTTAATACAGTCATAGTATATAACAAGAAAAAACACCACAGCGAGGGAAGAAGAATCCAAAGAATATCTCCACAATGCCAAGCAACAAATGCAGGAACCGAGGAAACAAGAACAAGGAAGACATTATGACGCCCCCAAATGAACAAGACACCCCAAGCCAAGATTATGAAGATGATGAGATAGAAGAAATGCAGGATACGGATTTCAAAAAAATTTATGATAAAAACATTTAGAATTTTTCAAAAACAAATTCTTGAACTGCAGAAATCCTTTCTGGACAGGATAGAAAATCTCTCTCATGAAAATGAAATCTTAAGGAGGAATCAAAATGAAATGCAGAAATTAGTGGAAAAGGAAAGTGTGATAGTGAAGAGAAATCTAATCTCCAATTAGACTCACAGCACCTACAGGCTAGGAGGGAATGGTGAGACATTGCCCAGATATTAAGAGAGAAAAACCTGCCAGCCCAGAATATTATATCCTGCAATGCTCTGCATTTGTGGATCAAGGTGAAGTAAAGACCTTTCAGAGCAAACAGAAATTGAAAGAATATGTCGCCACTCGTCCAGCACTGCAAAACATGTTTAAAGATGTGTTAAACACAAAGATATAAACACGGGCATCAATATGAAAGAATGGTAAGTAAGGAAACCTCACAGCAAAAGATCAGAGGAAGTTCAAAGCACATATTAGAAAATATCTTTGAGAAAATGGCAGGGCAAAGTTACTACTAATCAATAGTCACATTGAACGTGAATGGCCTCAAGTCTAGAGTGAAAAGACACAGATTGGCTGAATGGGTTAAGGAACAAAACCCATCTATTTGCTGCTTACAAGAAACACATCTTTCCAACAAAGATGCATGCAGACGAAGTGAAAGGCTGGAAAAAGATATACCATGCCAACAGAGATGAAAAAGAGTGGGTGTAGCCATCCTAATATCAGACAACATAAACTTTACCACAAAACTGTGAAGAGAGACAAAGAGGGACACTATATAATGATTAAGGGATCAATTCAACAGGAAGATATAACGATTATCAATGTATATGCACCTAACTACAGGGCACTGGTTTATTTAAAAGATATGTTAAGGGACTTAAGGGAGAGTTAGATTCCATACAATAGTACTGGGGGACTTCAATACTCCACTCTCAGAAATAGACAGATCAATAGGACACAAGATCAACAAGGATACAGTAGATTTAAACAACACTATAACCCAAACAGATCTAACAGATATATACAGAACTTTTCATTCTACATTTAAATAATTTACATTCTTCTCACCAGTACATGGAACCTTCTCTAGGATTGACCACATACTAGGCCATAAAGCAAGTCTTAGCAAATTCAAAAGAACTAGAATCATACCATGCAGCTTCTCAGACCATAAAGGAATGAAGTTGGAAATTAGCAACTCAGGAATCCCTAGAGCATACACAACACATGGAGATTGAACAACATGCTCCTGAATGAACAATGGGTCACAGAAGAACCCAAAAGAGAAATCAAAAACTTTCTGGAAGTAAATGAGGATAAGAGCACAACATACCAAAACTTATGGGACACAGCAAAAGCAGTGTTAAGAGGCAAGTTTATAGCAATAGGTGCCTACATCAAGAAATTGGAAGGCACCAAATAAATGAGCTTTCAATGTATCTCAAGGATATAGAAAAAC